GAGCGGGGCAGGCGGGGGCCGGAGCGGGGCAGGCGGGGAGCGGAGAGGCGCACTCGGCGGCCGCGGGCACCGCGCTCACTGGGAGCAGAGCCGGGCGGCGGCGCCGCGAGCCGCCGAGTGCGCCCGCCCGGCGCATTTCAAACCGGCCAATCGGCGGCCGCCCGCGGCGCGGGGGCGGGGCCTCGCGAGCTCGGGCGCGGCGCCCGCGGCGCTGGTCGCCTTGGTAACCCAGGAACACAGCCTGAGGCAGAGCGGCGCCGCGCCGCGCAGGAGGGAAACCTGAGGGAAATCCCGACCCCTCCGCTCCGACCGACGCAGACGCGGAGGTCTCCCCGCCTCTGTCCCCAGAACCTCGAAGGCAGTGAAGTTCGGCCTGGAGCGCTCTCAGCTGGCCGGCTGGCTTCCAAGCCACCTCATCATCTCATTCATTATACTACAGTTTGTGTTTTATGTTTTCCTTTCACGCTTGGTTCTACATTTACATTTTCTCTTCCTTTGGATTTATTTTGTTATTTTGAGAAGTGTCTCGTGTATCCCAGGCTGGCCTCAAACTTCCATGATAGCCACCAAGATGGTACTGACTACACCAACTTGGCAGTGAGACTTTCGTAAGTTTCCTTCTTTTCTACGTATGTATTCATTTATTTATTGTTCATGGTGCTGGGGATCAAACTCGGAGTCTCACAAATGCTAGGCAAAAGTGATACGACTAAGCTACGTACGCCTAACCTTTAAATTCTTGATTGTGATGTTTGCAGAGATTAATAAAAATCTACCCGCTGCTGTGTGCAACAGCCAGAACCTACTCGTCTTCCACGAATTGATTCTGTCACTTAATCTCTGCCCCTGCGCTGATGGCCGTCAAGGATGTAGTCGCACCTGTGTTCTGAGATTCAAGCCCCATTCGAAACGTAAGGACCAGCTCTGACAAGGACAGTCAGTTTAATAGCCATAGTTTAATGCCCATATTATTGGACATTAGTTTTTCCAATATCTACTATTGTAAACTGCTACATTGAATAATCCTGGAAACTTGTTCTTTTATAGGTGGGATAAATTTCTAGAAGCAGATAGTACCTAACAGGCTTTGCAGCCACCGTCTTTCAAAACAGTTCCATTTGACAGCCCTCTCACCTCTAAACCACAAGTCTAGTTGACAAGCTAGGTTGGTTGCTGAGACCCTCAGTGGAGCCCTGAGACTATTCTTCCTTTTCAACTGTGTCACCTATCACCTAGCACACATGCTTGAAACCTATCTGCACCCACACTCCAGTCTCTCTGCTGTCTCTCATCCTTCCTTTCCTCTGAGAATGCCTCATCTTCTCAGCAGATCCGCTGGCAACCCTACTCTGGGTACCGGAGCCCCTGCCGCCCCTCACTGCTCTGTTGACTTCAGCCTTCACCTCTCAGCTGACACTACCTAGTCCTCCCCGGCTTATCCCCCTCAGCCTCACTAGGTGGCATTGTCGCACGCCCAGCGCCTCGCACTAAGGGCTGAAAGGCCGGAGGGGCTCTCCCTTTGCTCCATCTGCCGCTTTTAATCATGTCGGATTTTCTCTCCCTTGCTCCTATCCATCCATATTAAAGCTCTCTAGCTATTCATTTTCTTAAAAGTCTCAATCACTTTAGCCTTAAAAGATCTGCATTTTTCTCAAGAATCAGAGATATAGACCAGGGCAAGTATGATAAAGAGGACAAAGTATATCTGGGAGACATCTTTTTTTTCCCAGACAGTGTTTCTTTGTGTAACAGTCCTGGCTGTCCCAGAACTTGCTTTGTAGACCAGGCTGGCCTTGAACTCACAGGGATTTGTCTGCTTCTGGCTTCTGATTGCTGTCCTTAAAGGTGTGTGCCACCACCACCCAGCTGGCAGGCTTTTTTTAAAGTCAGATGTATGGCTCAGTAGTTAAGGGTGATCGATGCTCTTTCAGATGACCCAAGTTCTGTTCCTAGCACCAACTTTTGGCTGCTTGCTATACCTGTAAATAACAGCTTTAGGTCTCCTACACCTTCCCTGTCCTCCAAGGGCACCTGTACTCACATGCTGACACCCCAGAGACAGACACACATGTTTATACACAATTAAGACATAAAAATCTTTTTAAAGACTTACTGTATTTCCTGAATGTTTGCCTGCATATAAGTTTGTTCACCATGTGGGCACAATCCCTGAAGAGGCCAGAAGACTTCATCAGCTCCCCCAGAGCTAGGGTTAGAGACTCTTGTTAGCTACCATGTGGGCTGGGTACCAAACCCAGGTCTTCTGTAACAGCAGCGATGCTCTTGACTGCTGAAGCAACTCTCCAGCTGTCTAAAACATAAGTCTTTTTTTCTTCTTAATCAGATTCGAGGAGCTGATAACAGAGCTCAGTAGAGTGCAGGCCTAGCACACACAAAGCCCTGGGTTCAACCCGAAGTGCCTTGTAAACTGGGTTTGTTGGTGTGTGCTTACAACCTGGGTTCTCAAGAGGTGAAGGCAAAAGGATAAAAGGAGTTCATGTTCATTCTCAGCTCTAAAGCCTGTTCAGGGCCAGCCTTGGCTACAGGATACTGTCTACAACACAACATAACATAAGGCAGGCTGCTAGGTGTGTCTGTGCACGCCTTTAATCCCAGCACTCAGGAAGCAGAGGCTGGCAGATAAGCTGTGAGTTTGAGGACAGCCAGGGCTACAAGGAAGTCTGCCTAAAAAGAAAGGGAGGGAAGGAGGAAGGAAAGAAGGAAGAAAGGTCAAATTTAAACTATAATTTCTATCTCACTGGTGTCCCATGCTGCTCCTAGGTCATCAGCACCCTCCCCCATCCCTATCCCTCAGCAACTACTGCTTGTCTGTTTCCTTCTCTGATGGTTGACTTTTCCAGACTTCTCTTTTACTCAGTATAAGGTTTTGAAATTTATCTCTGTGTTGCATGCCTCAGCAGTTTATTTCATTACCAAATAGTACCACATTGTATGAATGCTTGAAGATTTGTCCATTCATTAGCTGGTGGAAATTTAACTTGTCTTTCTTTTTTGTAATTATGAATGAAAAAACTGTAACTTGCATTAAAGTCTATATATATATAGGAATGTGTATTCACACTTTTCTTTCTCCTGGGTAGAACTATGGGTCTTGTGGTAACTGTAGCTTTAATTTCTGGGCAAGAGGGGCTTGTTGCAAATTATTGAAAGGGGACTGGCAGTGTGGATGCTTAAAACTATTTTGTTTCAAACACACAGTGTGATGGTTAATCTGCAAGTAGCTAAGACGCTCAGATCGGCAAGTCCAGCTGTGGGAAGTCTATAAATGCCAACTGCTCAAGCTCAGAGTGTTTGAGAGAAGGAGAGAAAATGGAGACAGGGCAGTTCTGGGACATGGACCCATTCTACACACCTCAGTCGCCCTGACTGGTTGTTTATCAGTTGCCATGGAAACACTGGCGGGGAGGGGGGTGTTCCCATGCAGCTGAACAATGAAAGGGTAGGTGTTTATCTTTTACATACTCCAGAAACAAATAAATCGATCGTGTAGAGGGGACTCTATAACAAACCCACATGAAATAAATCCAGACTTGTTAGCCACATTAGCCACACACACAGAAAGTGGAAATCACTATCCCCGTAGTTTAGACTGCTGAGACCAGTGATTCTCAACCTTTTTAATGCTGTGACCCTTTAACACAATTCTTCATGTTGTGGTGACCCCAACCATAAAATTATTTTTATTGCTGCTTCATAACTTTGCTACTGTTATGAATCGTAATGGAAATATCTGTGTTTTCCAATGGTCTTAGGCGACCCTGTGACAGGGTTACCCAACCCCAAAAGGAGTGGAAACCCACAGCGGGAGAGCACTGGCTTAGACTTTACCCTAGGCTCCAGACAGCAGGAAACTGAAACAGAAAAGTCCTGACAGGGCTTAGTAATTCTGAAACCTGCCCAACTCTCGAGGACCCAGCCAGTCAGGAGATACATCACGGCCAAGTGGCTATCTCCCATTCCTGTGGAAGGGGTTATAAATATCAGAAGGGGCAAGTGGCAAGAAGCTGGAAAGGTTTCCAGTATTTTGCAACACATTTCTGAATCTGAAATTGTTTTTGTTTTTTTAAGTAGGATTGGTGCTAGTAAGGTGGCTAAGCTAGTAAAGACGCTTGACCCCAAGTCTGATGACCTAAGTTTGATTCCCAGGACCTACATGGGGAGAGGAGGAGGGAACAATTCCTGTAAGTTTGTGCACACCACACACACACACACACACACACTCTGCAGGAAATCTTTTAAAAGGAGAAATAGAGTATAATAGTGTTTATGAACCCCCACCTCCACCCTTGGTGATGAGCTGCATCCCTGGTGGGGTTTGTTGTTGTTTTGAGATCCCAACGTGTTATGTATCCTCTAACTGGTGATCCTCCTGCTTGTTGACACCCAAGTGCTAGAGAGCGTAAGTGCCGCAGCGTAAATTTCCTCATCTTAAGTCACGTGGGCCAAACCTGCTGGTTCAAGCCTTTAATCCCAGCACTCCAGCAGCAGAGGTAAGCAGATCTCTATGAGTTCAAGGTCAGCCTAGTCTATATTACAAGTTCTAGGCCAGCCAAGACTACACAGTGAGACCCTGTTACATACACAAACACACACGGACACACACGGACAGGGGAAATAGCTCATTAGTAGCAATTGGGAAGGAAAACAGTATAGATAGCTTGTATTTCATCTTCTCAATATTTTTAATTGTGTTCATATGTGTGTGTCTACACAGGTATGTACCTGAAAAGGCCATAGAAGGGCCTCAGGTCCCCTGGAACTGGAGTTCCAGGTGGTGGTGGGTTGCCCAATGAAAGTGCTGAGAACCAAACTCAGGTCCTTTGCAAAGACATATGCCCTTAGTTGTTGTTTTTTAATTTTTATGTGTGTGCCTGTTTGTTTGGACGTGCACCATGTATGTGCCGTGCCTGCAGAGTCCAAGAGAGACACTAGATCTGCTGAACTGGGGTTACAGGTCAGGAAAGGCCTCTATGCAGACAACTGGGGCCCAAGCCTGGTTCCTCTGCAAAAGCTGCACGTGCTCTTAACAGACAAACCATCTCTCTACCCCATATGACCTTCTTTTGATGAGTTTCTCTCTCAGTAGCTCCAGTGGTTAGTGTAGGTTTTTCACTGCGTGGGTCTTATGCATAGTGTCCTGGATTCCGTTCTCAGCAGCAAAAGGTGGAGAATCACCTGGGGATTTTTCTGAGTAACCTAGTACCCAGCACCCCTGCCTCCCTCCATCTCATGTCAGCATGCTTGGGCCTGAATTTGTTCATTTCACGTGGTTGGGCAACGTTTAGTCGAGGTGAAGTAAGATATCTTTGAGCTCCTTTTCATCTGCTCTTCCAGGAGGCCAGGTCTAGAAAGCTGATGCTTAGACAAGATAGCAGCTGATAACTGCCTTGCCAGAGGTGCTTTATTGCAGAACTCCCTGCATTCCATGCCTTAGGAGGCAGCACAGGAACGCCCTGGGGCACTCTCAGGAGAAAACTCAGAGCAATTTTAGAGTTCATCATTGTCTTCCAGAGTGCAGTTCAACAGTTCTGGAAAGAATGGCCTGACTCCTCTCTTTCCAGTAAGATAGCCCTTGCTGGACCCAAGGCCCCAAATGCCTGCCACTAATCACCAGCCAGCCTGGCTCCTGTGGCCTTTGAAACCTCTCCAGAGCTGACAGCTTATCAGAGCAGCCGTGCATGAGCTACCTTTCTCCTCACTTCCCTAGGTCTGTTTCCTTCCAGAACTTATCTTTTTCCGGACTTATCTGCCTGGCCAGTGGTGGGTTCACAAGGGCAGGCCTTTGGTTCACATCTGTCTCCAGAGTGTCAGCCCTACACCTACTGTTTTGTTGTTACTGTTTGCTTTGTTAAAATGTATTTTATGTGTATGGGTGTTTTGCCTGTATGTCTGTATACCATGTTCATGCAGTGCCCATGAAGAACAGAAGAAGGCCTCGAAACCTTTGGAAACTAGACCAGGGGTTCTCAACCTTCCTCATGCTGCAACCCTTTAATACAGTTCCTCATGTTGTAATGACCCCAACACAAAATTATTTCACTGCTACCCGGTAACTGTAGTTTTGCTACTGCTATGAATCATACTACAAATATCTGTTTTCCAAAGTTCTTAGGTGACCCTGGTGAAAGGGTTATTGATCCACAAAGGGGTCAAGACCTCACAGGCTGAGGACCGCTGAACTAGAGTGATCCTTGTTGCCTAATGACTCTCAGACTGGCCTCAGACTCACCGTGTGGCTGAGTGTGACCTGATCCTGCTGTCCCTGAACCGCAAGCGTTGGGATCCCAGGCATGAAACACCATGCCTAGTTTATGAATTGCTCAGTATCATAGCCAAAGGCCTCATGCATCCTGGGGAAAAATGCTCTACCATCTGAGCTGCACGACCAGCCCAACTTAGAACTTTTTTCCACTATAAAATTGGGGCTGTGGAATGTGAAGTAGATGGGGGAATGCCACTGACAATGTCAGATTGTTGTTAAAGAACAAAATTTGTTGTGCAGTTTGCAATTAATGTCCCCAAATTTACCAGCCCGTATAATTGTATCAGTCTCCCCTTCCAGGGGAAAGTCAACAGATAATAAAATAACAAAACCATATTTCTTGACCACTCAACATTCAAAATATATTGGTCATCAGAGGATGAGGCTGTGAGCTACCAGAAAGGCCATTGACATGGCTGAGCTGTTTAATCCTGGAGGGAGTGTTACAGGACAGAGGGTATTCCAGAGTCAGCTAAGAGGACTTTGCCTCTCCCACCCCCCCCACCCCCCGCCCAAAGTCATTACCACGTGCAGATCGGGGGCTAATGGGCCTCTTTAAAATTTGTATCAGCATTTCTGGACTTTTGGAAAACACTATAAAATGGTGAACTTTAATGCACCAAACAAGAAATTGCCGTTTGGTACATGATCCTAATAACAGCATCTCCAAAGACAACAAATTAACCCAGAACACCGCTGCATGGCTGCTCCCATGGTGTGGTAAATTGCATGCACACTTGGAGTCCAGGCAAGGGTGAGTGTACCTGGATGGACCTGTCCATGCCGATGCCGGAACCGGAGGCTGATGTTAGAATGTCTGCCTGATGCTCCCCCCGCTGTGACAGGACCTCTCACTAAGCTGCTGTTTAGGTAGACTACCAGGCCAGCGAGCTCCTAGCAGCTGCCCACCTCTGTCCACCACGGGGATGCAGGTCCATGCAGCCACACCTAGGGTCCTGTGGTGTATGTTAGAGGATATGGACACTCCTTAATGCTCGCACTGAACCATTTCCGGTCCTATAAGGCAACCTTTTTAGGGCAAAATGAGGAAGAGGCTATAGTGCGTATGAATGTCGAATATTTGGTAACCACTGGTCCAAGGATGGACAGACAGCTGCAGGTCGATGTCCCCAAATAAGTACTTTCTGTGCAGGGCAGAAGTGATTGTTGCACAGGGTTGTGGCTCTTAGCAGAGTGGTCTTTTGGGTTTTGTTATTGTTTTGTTTTGTGATGTTATCATTTCATTTTTGAAGAAGGGGTTTATTTGGGCCTATTGTTCAGAAGGGATATTGTCATCCATTGTGGTAGGGAAGGCACAGATCCTGAGTTTGAAGCTGGCTCCGCAGTCAGGAAGCTGGCTGACCATGTTTGATCTGCACACAGGAAGCTGAGCACTGGTGCTTTTGTTTGTTTTGTTTTGATTTTTAAATCAGCATGTATGCCCAAGGAACTCTTCTCCAAGCCTCCTGGCTTTACTTCCTTTTTAGTTTAGGGTTTGACCCCTGAGACTTCATTTTTATTTATCCACTTAAAAAATACAGCAATAGTAGGAAGCCCTGGAGAAAAACAGGGACACGCATGCAGACAACAAGTTGCTGGAACTTTGATCAAGCCACAGGTGAAAGCACCACAAACGTCTCCAGCATTTCCCCCTGGCCCTCCTGTGTTGGAGTCCTCCGGGGACGTGCTCCTATCCATATTTCCTCTACAAAAACCTGCATTTAACCTGGAAAAGCAGAGCCCCAGGCTCACCCCTGGGAATGCATGTCACAAGCTTACCTGGTGTTTTTGTTTCACAGGAAAGCCTGAACACTGGGCATGTGACTGTTCCACGGGTAGGGTCTCCAACATCCTCTGCACAGATACTAAGTCTGGCAGCATGCTGGGCATGCCAACACAGTCTCAGGCATGGGACATCCCCAAAGACAGTGCTTCCACTGCCTGAAAAGGTGACAGGGAGCCCTATAGGGATGGCATCACTTAGCTCCAGAGGCCAACACATCTTATCTGTACTGTGGGATAATTTGCAGCAGGTCCTGAGGCTGGAAGTCCTATTGCTAGGCTTGGCAGCAAGCTTCTAACTCACTGAACCATCTCATCATCGGGACAAGCAGTTAGTGATATAAAATTCATCAAATGTAGCAGCCTATTTCAATTTTAAACATTAATACAAAAACTATAAGGGCAGGGCAGCTTGCTTAATCTGACTGTTTAAATAGAACTGTTCTTTAGAGACAGACTCTCATGTATCCAAAGATAGCCTCAGTTTCCCTAAGTATTGAAGGATGGGTTTGAACTTCTGATCCTCTGATTCTGCTTCCCTGGTGCTGGAATTATAGGCATGAGCCACAGGGCCAGGTTCATGCTGTGCTGAGGGTCGAAACCAGGGCTTCAGTGTAATGGCACAGGCCTCGAATCCCAGAACTTAGTAGTAAGAGGCGGCATGTCTCTGTGAGTTCGAAGCCAGCATGGTGCACATAGTAAATTCCAGGACAGCCTGAGCTACAGCCTGAGACAAACAGCTAAAACCAACCAACAAACGAAAATAGGTCTTTGTATAGTCTAGGCAAGTATTTACCAACTGAGCTCCAGTTCCAGCCCCTAGACACCCATTTGAAATGAGTTTAAAACTTAATATTTCAATAATTTGCCTTACCCGGGACTTACGCCCATGTCCTCCCTCTTACGGAACACATACAGAATCTGTGCGTGTGTAGACAACTTTCCCCAGTTAAATACGCCTTTCTGATATGAACCCATAAACAGTATCAGGACATCAGTCACTGGGAACGATTTGGCCACTGTAAGCCAGCACCACAACCAAGGCTAACACTGAAGTCCAGCATGTTCTGCTCATGTTTCCTTTTCATGTAATTCAGGCTCAGGGATCCGATACAGAGCAGCTGAGAAATAAATAATGTTGCTGAGGCTGAAGACAATGCACAGAAGCATGGCTGCTGCTATCTGAGGCAAAGAGAAGGGTCTGGAGGTGGCCAAGAGCCACTCCTTCCTCAGGGTCTTGTCCAGAAGGATGGCTTCCATCTGCAAGTGGGTGGCCAGGATCACGCACACATGAAACAGCTGGTGACTGTGACCTGTGACAGACACAAAAGGCCATCAAGACTACCAGTCAGAACCAGAGACATGGCTCGGTGGCAGAAGGCTCCAGCTGCCACGCCTGGTAACCCAAGTGCTACCCAGGGCACCCCAGGAGAGTGCACATTCCCACCAGTTGACCTCTGACCTCTGCACCCCCATACATACACTCACATGTATGCACACAGAATCAAGTGCTAGGAAGTCATCAATCAAACGGACACAGGCTGTGCCATGCATGCTAAAATGGGACGGGTAAATCTCAGGAGCCAGAAATAGATCATATACAGGGTTCTATTTGTTTGCTCGTTTGAACTTATTTTGGTATTGATTGCCTTTTGAGAAAAGGTTTCTTGCGGCCCTGGCTGGACCAGAACTCACTGTGAAATGACTTTGAATTTCGGACGCTCTTCCCTCCACCTCCAGAGTGCTGGGATCACCAGCTGTGGCTTGTACACCACGCCAGTTTTATAGTTTTATTTGTAAGAAATGCTTAAAAAGGACCTGGGAGATGGCTCAGTGTGTAAGGCTGTTTGCTGTGCAAATAAAGACCCAAGTTCAAAACCCTAGCACTCATGTAAAATGCCAGACTGGTCATGCCTCTAACCCCAGCGCTGTGGAGGGTGGAGACAGGAGGATTGCTGGGGCTAGCTGGTGGCCAGGCTGGAGACTAAAGCAACAAGGCAGAGAGTAATGAAGCATGACACCTAACATCTTCCTCTAGCTTCAGAATGTACCTGTACATGCACCAACCCCCACATATGCACACAAATACACAGGCACACATGAACTCACATGTCCCCGCTCACAAATGCACACTCACGGATGCAGACAACACCCTCACTCACATATACATGTACACACCCCACATACCCACACACACGTGCCTCCCCCACCACACTCGTATATATGAACACAGACAACATTGTTTTAAAACCTAAAATGTTCACAATAGGTGAAGCCATGCAGGGCTAGAAATGGAAATGCTCACTGCCTGGGCAGAGGGGATTGTACTGGAAGGGTGGACATGTCCCAAACGGATTTACACTTTGTAAATTTGTAAGATTTGCTGGAGGCATTATATACCACTGTTTTTGTTTCTATTCGTATTTGTATCCGTTTCTTGCTGCAGGGACAAATGTGGCTTGGGGAGAATCTGGGTAATAGATCCTATATATTGAGTTCTATTCTAGAGACCCCTAATACATCACCTTACTGTATTATTTCAGAAATCAATAGGAAGAAACCATGAAGACTGGATGAGCACAAATTCTTTTCTAAAGCGACTTATGCATAAACCCGTTTCTTAAATAAATTGTTGGGCACCCTGCTACCCCAGGGCTCTAACTCCAACTTCAGTGGTGCAGGAAGAGCCAGCCAAGTTTTCTCCCTGCCTCTTGCTGCTCTTCCAAAGTGTCCTTGTCTCAATTTCTGGCTAGTTAGAGATCTGATCAGGGGCCCTTCAGCTGGGATGCCATGCAGACTGAGCTCACCAACCCCACAGCTGTTGGGTAGGAACCCAAGCAGGAGGGGCAGAAGTAGGCAAGGCCCTGAGAAAAGGAGTCCTGGGTTAGAGAATCTGACACAGAAAGTTGGATGAGAAGATAGTATTTTCCATGACTAAACTGTGTCTCTGAACCATCTACATACTGAAGTCCAACCAGTGGCCATCTTGGAGAGAGAGTTAAATCCCAGTGAGGTGACTGGGGCGGTCCCCCATCCACTGGACACGGGCATGATCTCCACTGAGGAAGAATCCCATGAAGACTGTGGGAAGGAACTCTTCCACAGGCCGAGGGAAGAGGATGAAGACACCATTCTGCTGACATCTCAAGCAGTCAGCCTTCTGAGTGTGAGAAAATCGCATTTTGTTGTGCAGGTGACCCACCCTGGTATGCAGAGCTCCCCTTGTGTGGGGGAGCTGCAGCCCTAGCAAACCAGTTCAACACGACAGTTAAATACGGCTTCTTATTTAGGAGAAGCTATGTCCAGGTGTGCTGGCACCTACCTGTAACTGAAGCACTCTGTAGGCAGAGACAGAAAGGTCATGAGTTCAACGCCAGCCTCCACTACATATTGAGACCCTAGCTAAAAATAAATGTGAAAAGTGCGCGCGCGCGTGCGAAGGCTCAGTGGTAAAGTCTCCTTCCACTGAGCCTGACAACTTGAGTTCACTCTGGACCCACATGGTAGAAAATGAGAACCTGTTCCCGAAAATTGTCCTTGGACCTCTATATACCCACAGCACCACCCATGAACACATCACGGACATGTAATAAAAAAAATATTAATGCATGAGAAAGTTCTGTATGGTGCCACCAAACCCATTTGAGAAGTATTCAACAAGCCTGCTGTCGGGTGTCTGGCCACAGGAGCTGCACAGGATGGCTGAACGTTGGCATGAGTGCTTTCTTTCAGCTCCAGCCTCCATCCCAAGAAGAAGGTGATGGCACCCAGCCTACTCAAGTTCAAAGCACAGGCTGTGCCCAGCTCCAAATGTGTGTGTGTGAAGCAGGCAAGTGACCTCTGCTACAGTTGTGATATGGTGCTAATCGCAGAGCCCTGGCTCACTGCATTTGCTCACCCTGCTTCGGTTGGAGAGATGAGCCACAGATGTGTCACCAGCAATGGCTGCCTGTAAAAGGGCTATGGAAGGAAGAGTGGCTTCAAATATCCCACCTACCAGGTCTTGGGGCTTCCTGGAGGCCAGGGATAACCAGGCTTGCCAAGCACCCTCCCCTGCTACCACAGCATTTTCCTGCTGTGTGCCTTTAGGCCCCAGAGGACAGGACTGTCATGAGCAAACAGAATGTGGAGTGACCAGTCTTCGCCACACCTCTGCCTGCCCCTGTATCCCCAAGCTCTTATCCACAGCTCTGTCTTCCTTCAGGGTGGGGCTGGAGTGGGCAGGCGGAGGCCTGGCTCCCCCAGCTCCTGGCCTCTGACCTCGATCTCTGTGGAATATGCGCTCTAAGCATTTTGCTAGCTGCAGTCCCTTCAGCTAGGACAGAGAAGAGAAGAATGAGACTCTGATCGGATCACACAACGCTTGTCTGGCTCCATCTCTGAAGCAGGATCTCTCCATCTCTGGAGAGGAGAGAGGAGGAGGCTCCAGCAGGGACAAACGTGGCTTGGGGAGAACCTGGGTGCTTACTATGGAGGGGACAGTAACTGGCTTTTTGAGTCTCTTGGTATCTAGTTAAGGAACCTTGTGCCGAAGGCTTGTCACCTACAGAAGCCACCCAAAGGTGCTGCCATAGCTAATATTGTCGACTTCACAGTCCCTAAAGACATGCAAGGGCCAAACCTTTGTGTATGTCTGTGAGTGAGTTTCTGGATTGGGTTGACTGAAAAAGGAAGAGCCACCATTCCATGGGTCGGGGTCATGGACTGAATATAAAGCATGCGAGCTGAGTATCTCTTTCTGCTTCCCGACTGTGGACAAATACAACCCGCTGCCTCATGCTGTGACACCAGGCTGTGCCTCATGCTGTGCCAGAAAAGCATAAACCAAAAACAAACCCCGAGTTTATAGTCACCGCAACAGAAAAGTAACAAACACAGGGGCCTTTCTTCCAGCAGCACCAGTGCCAGGTGGGCCAGGGGAGAAGAACCCCAGCTTGTGCTGGGAGGGAACGGTGCACCATCGAGGAGCCCCTGTGTCTGTCACTTCTCCCAACCACACGTCCTCTCAAGTCTCTCCTGGGTGTCACATGACCTCTGTGAGTGCTGGCCTTGTCCTAGCTTTGGAGTTCCTGGGTCAGGAGGTCTGAGGCTGGGCCCAGAAGCTGAAGCCTCAGCTGCCTTCTGCTGCTGGTGTTGGTCAGGGACACACCTGAGACCCACAGCTCTATATGACCCCAGGCTTTCCACTCACCATATTCCAGACAGACCGACTTTCTCTTCTGCACAGCGGCCTGCTATCTGGTACTCTCAGTGTTACCTGCAAACCATCTTTCCTCTTCCTCTCTGTGGCTGCCCCCCATGTTCTGTCATGCTGGGAAGTCAGACTTTAGGTGCCAACAGAATAGATATCCGTTGGGATGCTTCAGGGTCCTGGGCCTGCCTGTTTCCATCCTCCCTGTGCCTGGCAGGGCACTGGCAACACACATGATGGCTTCCACGGAGGTGTAAAGTCGCTCACTGTATCTGTCACTCACCATGGCCTATGCCTGTTGACTCCCTTAGGGTCACTCTTCTCCAGGTCCCCTGCCTTGTGGCTACGTACACATCGTCAAGGACGTTCCTACCCCAGCTGGGAGTCACACCCTGCTTCCGGGTTGTGCCTACCCTTGCTCCACCACACTCACCGATGTAGTCAAAGCGTCCAGGAGCCAGCCGCTCTGGCAGGTGAGCGGAGTACAAGAAAGAGGCCAGGAGGGTCATGATCATGTGCTTCTGGTGGTACAACATGGCTTCATTTCTTGAACTCTCCCCTGGGAACAGGAAGAGCTGCAGGTGTTTAAAAGAACAAAAGGTCGGGCTGGTGAGATGGCTCAGCAGTTAAGAGCGCTGTCTACTCTTCCAGAGGTCCTGATTTCAATTCCCAGCACCCATATGGTGGCTCATGACCATCTCTAAAAAAGGGAGCTGATGCCCTCTTCTGGCACGCAGGTGTATGTGCAGACAGAGCACTCATACATAAATGAAAAAAAGAACACAAGGTGTTGAGAAGAAGCCAGACCCATACCTCCCAGCACACACAAACTCCACAGGACCAGGCCTCACCTCTTCAGAGTTGTGGCCTGAAGGAATGAGGGGAAAAGAGAAGGAAGAGGAGAGGAGAGAGAAAGAAAGATGAGCAGAGGGGAGGGGAACCCTACTAGATACTGCTGCTCCTTTCGGGGGAATAAAGTGCAAGCAGAGAACAGCCCTACTGCACCTGCCTCCATACGAAGAGCTACAATACAGAGCTAAGTCAGCTCATAACGAAGGCTTCAAGGCTTAGAAGGGAAGCTGGCAAAATGGCTCAGTGGGTAAAGTCCCTGCCACCAACCCAGGCACCTGCTTGCTGTGGCTCTCGCTCTCACACACATACACACAGATATGCACACAAAAGAAATGTGAATGATAAAACTTTAAAAACAAGAAGTCTTGGGAGCTTCTCTGCATCATCAAAAAGGATCACTGTTTAGCCTAGCTTGGTGACTCAAGCTTGAACTCAGTCCCTAAACCAGAAATACTGCAAATCCAAAATCCATCCAGGCTGTGGAGCTAGTTGAAGACCAGCTTGAGCAACTTAGTGAGGTCCTTTCTCAAAATCAATCAATCAATCAATCAGTCAGTCAATGGCTGGGGATATAGGTCTATGGTAGAGCCCTTGCCTAGCACAGAGAAGACATTAGGCTCAATATCCAATATCACCACCCCTCAACATATGACCATTATAAAGCTTCAAGATTAAGAAAAGTTTTTACTTTATTTTATAAATAACAACAGTCACCCCCCTACTATTAGGAGCCAGGCACTAGGCCAGTTATTCACCCCATCTGAGCTTCAGCAGGGACCTTAAGGCAGACTCACCTTCCACGGTTTATATACAAGGAAAGTGGGCCTGAGCTTGACTTGCAAAGCACCAACAAGCAGCGAAGTGAGGACTGGAATGGAGGCAGGGCCATTCTGGTATTAATGCATCCACCCCCTGCCCCTCTGCCCTAGCTACCCAACCACTAGACGGCATCACATGAGATCTGCGTGTAACTGACGATGCTGGCAGCTGCAGTTCCCTTGTGTGTCTGCACAAACTGCCTCCAAGAGGGAGGAGCTCTGAGTTGCACTCCCATCCCTAAGTCTCCTGTAGACCCCTCAAGGGAAATGCAGAAAACACCCAGTGTCCCAGGGAGCAGGCAAAACTCTTCACTGCCTGCATGCCCACCCCTTGCCATCTGTGCCTCATGCTGCAGTGGGCGAAGCCGACTCACAAGGCAATGCTGAACCTAGACGACACATTGCACCTAAAAGTCTTCATTACCTCCCAGGCAGAAGCAGACGCGAGCCCCATTCACAGATGAGGAAACCCAGGCTCAGAATGGATTTGTGTACTGCATAAACCACACAGCAAGTAACCATGGAGACTAGGATTTGAACTCAGGCCCATGTGACCTGCAGCACCCAAGTCTCTCTGCTCCTATGAGTCCCCCAGGACCCACTGCGGTGTTATGACTTCCTCAGAGCTTTCAAAACCGTGAAGTCCCTGGCACACTGACAGGAAGAGGAGAGGTAGCCCCACGTCCTTACCCGGTAGAAGATGGGGAGTGAGTCCCAGGCGTAGGGGTAGGCGAAGGCGAGGACCCGGAGCAGTTTGCAGAGCCTGGGCTTCTGCAGTTCAAGAAACCTGCAGTCAGGGAGGACACGGAAGCTTTTCAGGAACGCACACATGTGCTCATGGCTCCTCAACAGAGGGAGAGCACTTTTACACAACCTCCCACAGACCACAGCTTTTCCATGAGCCTCTCGAAGTCCTTCTACACTGGCGGAAACTACAAAAGCTCAGCTAAGGAGACACTTGCCTCTGAGAGCATGAAATGCAGTGGCATGCGAACCAAGATGGACGAGGTTGGAGAGACTCAGGCAGAATCCCTGCAAAGGTCAGAGGACTTACCAGCAAAGAGGTTCTAGAAGGCTGCCACCACTGAGACAGGAAGGGACCTTAAGCACAGATCCTCATGCAACCCAAGTAACTGGAACCACCCAGGTGATGGCCACCCAAAGACCTGGGTTCAAGCGGGTGCTGGATAGCCCAGAGAAGTTTCTAGACAATTTATACCATGCACAGGAACACTGGCCCGGGGAAAGCTTTCCCACTACCCTCCAAAGACAGAATCCAACAGGAATGCACTGCACTGACTGTTTAGAAGCAGGAAGTAGGACCTCCTGGATGGGTAGGTCACCACTGGGCCTCTGAAGACCTAGAGAGGGATAACAGCTTTAGACCTGAGGTTCAGCAGCACAGATGCTCAGGCTGGAGGTCAGGAGGTCAGGAGGTCAGGGCTGAGCTAGGAGACTCCACCCACAGCTGCAGCTCCTGTGGTAGAGTTCCCACTAGCATGCCAGAAGCCCTGGGTTTCATCCAGCCCTTATAAAGCAGACATGGTGATGCATGCCTGTGACCCCAGCACTTAGAGGTCAAGGCAGAAGGATCAGAAGTTCAAAGACATTTTCAATATATTTTATAAAGCGAGTTTGAGGTCAGTCTGGGCTATAGGAGACCCTGTGTCCAACAGCCAAAACAAAACCCAATTATCTGCTTTTTGTTTGTTTGTTTTTTCAAGACAGGGTTTTCTCTGTGTATCCCTGGCTGCGCTGGAACTCACTCTGTAAAACCAGGCTGGCCTCAAGCTCACAGAGACCCGCCAGCCTCTGCTTCCCGAGTCCTGGGACTAAAGGCAAGAGCTGCCACTGTTGCTACCTCCATCTCCACCACCACCACCACCACCACCACCACCACCACCCAGTTTCCTATTACCTTCTCGATTACAGTATAACAGTGGGGACAGAGGCAGTGTTGCTACAGTTTCATAGGGACATACTAGGTTCCAACACAAGCTAGACACGTCAGAGCCATGCTGCTATGGCAGGTTTCCTGTAAAGATGTGTATGGCCAGTCCCTCCCTCACAGTGTTGTAAGGACTTAAAGGGGCACCAAAGACTTTAGGATCATGCAGAGACCAGCTACTAAATGTAGCTCTGAAAACAAACCACTCCCTGCTCATCTCAAAGCTTGTTGAAGCAGAGGTTACATAACAACAAGAGAGGATGGGTACCGGGAGGACGGTCTAAGGAGGAGCTGAAAAGAAACACAGCTAGAATTTAGCCCAAGGTGTCTGTCCTTCGCTGTCACATTGCCCTGCCTGCTCCTGACAGGCCCAGCCTCTATCTTTCTTCCCCAGGGCCCAGAGGAAACACATTCCCACTATCCCAGCAGCAGCTGGCCAACTACAACAGGCCCCATATGTGTCTGGCATGTCTGGGGCAGGCTCACCCCTAAAGAATGCTCCTGTGGCCACTGACACGCAAAGAAAACCTGGCTCTGACTTGGTGAGGGCTGTACCCCAAAGCTTGGGTTTCCTGTGACATGGGTCCACATGTCACCAGGCCTGAAAAAGTGCTTCCGCAGGGGGCAGATGGACCAAACTCTCCAGCAGCAAAGCTGAGTACTGGGACAAAAGGGAGAAGCAGACTGAAAGAGCAACGGAGGTTGCAGTTCCACATCAAACCACAGGGTGTCGCCACAGCCAGAGATTCCTGGAGGCAGCAGCCTTGGCCAGAGACGCTTGCAAAGCACCCAGCCACAGTGTCAGAGTATAGCTGGCTCACACAGCCTGGGGTCGAGAGCTCTGCCCAGGAAGCAGTCCAGGATTTGGGGAGAAGCCTCCCTTAAGACCAGGTTGAGTCAATAAATCTTTGCAACTGGAACGTCAAATCTAATGCCTGATGCAAGCAGTGAGATGGAGGTTATTCAACTGCAAAGGTGCACACTTGTGTGTGTGTGTGCGTGTGTGTGTGCGTGTGTGCATGCGCTGTCTTTTACTGTGTGGGGCTTTCTCCTCACTCCGCCATCTGGCTGACACGCACAGCCTGCAGAACTCCATCCGCTGAGCCACTGCCCCCGTCTGACCCCGGCCCTCTTGAGGCTGGCTTTTATCACTCTACATACTGAGGTGTTGTTCCTCTGATCCCGGTAACCTGGTGACGGTCACCATACTGACCTCAGTAACATTGCAAAAAAAAAAAAAAAAAAAAATTTTTTTCTGGAAGTTGGGAGTACACATCTGGAAGTTGGGAGTACACATCTGTGTCAACACTGGGGGGGTGGTGCTAAGTTGAAAGGGTAGCCCTAGGCTACATAAGGAGTACCACAGCAGCCAGGGCTACACAGTCGGACACTAAACCAAACAAAGCTCAATGACCCAACAGACGTGCTGAGAGGAAGATCTACAGTAACAGATGATGCGAGGCAAAGGGAGGAAGGACAGCTCCCTGGGCTGCCAGGTCGAGGGCAGACTCAGGAGAGAAGCAAGCGCTTGGGGCCCTGCTCGTCCTCCACAAAGAACAGCTCTTACTTACTCCCTTCTCAAGTGTGGCAGCATGAGAGGACCGGAGCACGGCGGCCGGGGACCTATCTCAAAGGTCCTGGAAAGCAAACTGAGCCCCAAAAGGAGAGCCCAGTAGACCCCGTCCACGAAGTACAAAGGGTGGTCTTCCGAGCAGGCACTAACTTTCCAGCTTGGCCTTGGGCCCTCACTAGCCGCCCTCCCTCTCACCCTGCTGTTCCTGGCCCCTCCACTCCCTCCCACTACCATCCTCACACAGGCTGTTCGCTCTGCTGCAAAGGCCCTTCCTTCTCTCCAACTTCAAGGCTGTCGCTTGTTCCCATCTCTATGTGTCTACCTATGTGCCATTGACGTCATCTGCATCCCTTGCTCTCTGTTCTGCCTCACAGAGCAATGGCAGTGCCCTCTCAGTCTCCTCTCTCTCTTATGTGTGTTTGTGCACGTGTGTCCTGTCTTTCCTGCACCAGTCACCCTCTGAAGGTAAGACAGGTGTGGCAGACTTTTCACATGGGTCCCCAGAGCCCAGGCAACCTTTGAGGAATGCTGGATAGGTGACTGGGGATGATAGCCCCAGATGTGCTCTCTGGATCCGCAGAAACAAACTGTGTCATAGTCAAGGAAAGGAAGCCCCAGATATGGGGCACAAGATATTCCTGGCTCAGGGCCAAACACCAAATACAGCAGGTACCCCGAATGCACAGCTCCCACCTTTGGGCCTGCATGGTCAGGGGGACTCTGGGCTAGAAGCAAGCACCACGCTCTGGTGGCTAACAGGTTGTCAGGAGCTGGCCAAAAATGTAATTAACTGAAAAGGCTCCAAACGTCCTAACAAGCTGCACTGCGGGCTCTTGGGAGAGCAGTCTTGGCGCACTAATCATAGGGTCCGTATCTTCCAGAGCCAGGCGCTGCCTCAAGCCCTACACCCCACAGCCTTTCTCCCCTCTGGTGCCCCGTTCTGAATACCAGAGCAATGAGGAGTGTAGGGACCAGCTACACAGGGGTAATAACTGACCCCAGGCCAGATTCGGGGTGTCCAGGCCTCCTCTGGGCAGCTGGGGGAAAGGCCAGGCGCTCTGCATGCCTGTGCCGTGAGCACGGCTCTTCCAGGTATGTGCTTGCTTCACCCAAGATGGGGACTGTGATGACATTCTGGTTTATGATATGTTAACATGTTTTTGTTAAAATTTTGTTAACAAATTTAAAATTTGTTAAAAGTTGGGGATTTTAGTTTGTCCACACCTGTTAAGTGTGGTCTTTGCCAGGTGGAATTGAAGTCGGAGGACTTTTAGGGTTGTAAACCCGGCAGCCCAGAGGAAGAAGGGCGGCTGCTTGGAGGAGGCCTGCTGGCTCGTCCTGCTGCTGCATTTGCTGTTTGCTGATTCCCCGGGCTTCTGGATTTCTGCACGGCTGGTATTGGTGTTGCCCCAGAAGAATCCTACGACCCCACCCAACGAGAAGTAGCGGAGAGAACTCCGGCCTCTGTCTCCATTAATCTATCCCGCCTACCCAGTGTTGGGGGGTTGGAAGGGAGGTAGAAGCATTTCATAACCCTAAATAAAGTAGGCTTGTTAAAAATTAAGGTCAACAAGGGACCCAATCTCTCTCTCTCTCCATCAACTGTGGAATCCCCAGATTTCCACCCTAGTGCAGAGGCTGTACACCACAAAGTTTAATTCCTCCTGGAATTAGGACATGGCAACCTGGGACCAGAAACTTTATTCCCTGGCTCTACAGGTAGATTCAAGTCCTGTCCAAAATCCGTGATTTTTCAAGAAGATAAAAGAGTCCCTCCTCTTTTTCCGAGAAGATAAGAGAACAGTTCACCATGGATGAAGCCACATAAAGTCCAGTGTGGGTCACACGGAGCAAGGCCTCACTCTGGGCAGACTAAACCATGCCTGCCTCTAGCCCGTCTCAGACATCCTAGCAAATGCAGGGCGAGCTGTGGTGAACCTTCTGACGCTGTATAAAAACCCACCCTCCCACATAAAAAAAAGAAAAAACATTTGCCAGGTTCCCCATGTGTGTCACCCAGAGGAAACTGGAACAAAACCACCCCAAAGAGAAACACTGCCTGCTTCTCCATGGCCTGACCCTTCCCGCCATGGCGGCACCATCTGGTTGGGACTGTCACCTTGCCACAATCATCTGGAAGGTTTTCTAAGCAACCGAGGGAGCCCGCACTTTCAGGCAGCTCACGCCTGCAAAGAGCAGTGTCAACTAGCCCAGACGGCCCCATGGCCACGCCACTCATACTCCACCCCACAGAAGCTTGTGTGAAAGGAAGACTAGCAGGGTCAGAGGCAGGGAGCTGGGCATGATTCATGGCCACTTCTGAATACCCTTCATCACCCGGTGCACGATCCTAGCGATGCCAGAACCACCCATCGCTGTGAGGGGAGGCCTGCCTGGCTATGGGGAACCTTCCCTGCCCAGGCTTGTGATAGGTATCCTAGATACATGACCTACAGTCTTCTGCCCAGAAGGGAGCTGTGCTGATCCCCCTGTACAGATGAGCAACTGAAGTTCAAAGGAGACACACGGTGCCCTGCCCAGGCAGCAGAGGCTGCTGTAGAAGTTTTAGCGGCTATGAAAACAACTCTAGCATAGGGACACTCTTGTTTAAGTTATGAAGAATTTCAGAGCATTGGGTTACATTTGGAAAAGCCTGCCCACTAGCCAGTGTGATAATACTGTCAACTAGACAGAATCTAGAGTCACCATGGAAACAAGTCTTGGGGCAGACCTATCAGGAAGTTCCAGAATTAGATTAATGGAAGTAGAGAGAGCTACCCTCTGCGGGTACTGTAGCTGTCTGGAGGTGAATGAAAAGGGTAAAGCTGGCTGGCGGCACCATCTCTCAGCCCCCAGCCCTGCTGCTCTGACCCTCCTGCCTTGATGGACCCTCCAACTGGGGGGCAGGGGGCTCTTCATTCTTTTAGTCAATGTTGTCAGGTGTGTTGTCCTAGCAATGAGTAAAGGAAACAATACATCGCACTAACCTCTACCTGGAGCCAGGCTCCTGGAGCCTTTTCCGTTGGGCTCACCTCTTCTGCTGACCTTAACTGGCCCTCCTGTGGGGACACGCTAGGTCCTCCCACCCAGGCTCAGAGCGCCCGGTACCTGGAATAGCAGGAGAGGCCGGTGCTGAGAATGGTGTTCAACACAGCCAGGGCTACGTAGCACTCGTGGAAGGTACTGCAGATCAGCGCGTCAGGGAACGTGTACGCAGAGTAGGCGATGGCTGAGCCTGGGAAAGAAACCCCAACCTTGAGACACAGCCCAGGCCACAGCTCCGTGAGCACTCCTGGGAAAGACCGCCTCAGCCTTCATCTTCTGCAGAGACTTGTGCAGGAGCCAGCCTCTGTGCCTTCCCAGAATACCCTCCTTGCCACTCCCCTTAAATTCCATAAGGCTACGTTCCTCTTGGATATGTGTGTGTTTGTGTGTGTGTGAACTCGTGCTGTCTTTGTAATCCTGTCCCATATAAAGCTTACACTTATTCTAAAGATGAGCATATAGAGGCACGGGGAGAGCTAGTAACTCATAGAGTCTCACAGTGGAAAAAATAGAAATAAAATTCAAACCCAGGCAGTTTGGAGATGAATAGCTGCTTCTAACCACAGGTTGCCAGTAATGATGATGCCAAACTCATCTGGCCCCCTGAGAAGCTCGGTGTCACAGGAAGGGAGGGACAAGGACAGGGATGTCCCATCAGTGGACTGGGGCTGGCTAGTGGGCATGGGGCTTGGCTCTGGGTTTCAGAGTCCGAGAGAGGCAGCCCTATCAAGACTCTCTAGAAAGACTAAAGGTGAAAGCTTTTGGTTGGAGAACCAGGAGCTATTACTGCCTGTCTCAGAGCGGCTGGGACCTGCATGCTTACCTTTGGGAGAGGTGGATTTGGCCCCGTTCACCTGTTACTCTAATATGGTAGTTCTCATGCCACAACCCTTTAATTCCCATGTTATAATGACCCCCATAGTTACTTTCATCATTACTTCATAACTGTAATTTTGCTACTGTTAGGATCTGTACTGTAAATACCTGTGTTTTCCAACGGTCTGAGACGACCTCTATGAAAGGGGCATTTGACCTCCAATGGGGTCACGGCCCACACTTTGAGAACCACTGTTCTAATACATCAAGAACCTTGGGTACACAGCTAGAGGAAGAAACAGGCCAGACTCAACCTCTGCCTCCTCTGCCAGTCAACAGGTGGGTCTTCTAATGAAGCTGGTCACGGGGGTAAGGAACCCCAGCTTGGTGGGATTCACCTGTAAGCCCAGTGCTGGGGAGGCAGAGACAGTGGGCCCTAGCCTCACCAGGGATCTTCAGGCCAGTAAGAGTCTGTCTCAAAAAGTGCAAGGCACTTAAGCGCCACAAAGGTCCCCTCACCTCCACACACACATAAACACAAGTGCCAGGCGAGAGGGCTGAACATTCCCCTCCTAGGACAGTACAGAACCCCCGTGGAGTTCACTCAGGAGCTCTGCTCCAGGGGTCCAGGGACCCCTTCTTCACACCCAATGCTCAGGAGCTGTCTGGACCACGACGTCCCACTGCTGAGATGTGAAACAAGTATTGCATGCAATGGAAGAGCAAAGGGGCCTCAGACCTCCTGAAATTCCAGCGGGAAGCCAAGCTGACCTGAGCCCAGAAAAGGGTCCTGTGGGGGATGCTTGAGATGGGCCAGGTAGCAGATGAAGATGTTCGCTGTCAATCAGAGTAATGGCTACCTTGTGAGGTTGACACAGACTCAAAAGCATTTGAATTTGTTCTATGTTCTGCTATAGAGAATGAGCCTTGGGGAAGTTAAGAAATTCGTCTAAGACTGAATTTGGGACTGGTGGCACAAAAGCAGGATCTGGACCCTTGAATGCCATGTAAATATGTACCAGAGGGGCGGAGAGACTGTGGCTGCTTTCCAGCATCTGTATTAGGCAACTCACAACCGTCTGTGAGAGAGAACTGGCTGCTCCCTGCTGGCCTCCTCAGGCACCCACGCACGTGGCACACAGACAAATAAAAATAAAATCTTTTTTTAAAAAGGTGTGTGTCAGGGTCTCAGCACACAGCTGGCTTAGGAGGATTCCCACAAATGCTCGACTTTATTAGAACCCCAGCAAGCAGCTGGGGTGGGGCTCAGTTGGTGGAGGGTGTTGCCTGGAACTCGTATAGCCCCGAGTCCCAGTCCCACTACATAGACCAACTGTAGTGGCACAGAAGATGGCTACAAGAGGGTCAGAACTTAAGGTCATTCTTCTCTACATGGCCAGTCTGAGGCCCTGTCTCAAAAAGAAAGGAAAGAGAGAGCAAGCAAGCGAATGAGAGAGAGAGAGAAGCAGGTGTACACTTATGAAAGAAGAGGAAAGAGGATGAGGGGAGCCTCCTCCTGGACAAATTCTTGCAGGAACAGACAGATACAGTGACTAGCTTTCATAGCTAGAGCAGAGCCAGGAGGGAGGAAGAAGCCAGCACCAGCATCCTAAGGGACAGATGACCCTGGGGAGGAGAAAAGCAGGAGGAGAGACTTGCTAGTCAGAAAAAAAAGGAAAAAGTCAAAGAGGATGGGGGCAGCACCACTCCGCTTGCTTGGCAGTGCGCCACTCCACTTCTGAAGCACTGTGGGCAAGACTGTGTACCTCTACGCCTCTGGGCAAACGCTGTGACCCTATCCTTTCTCTACCAGGCACACCAGATCCCAGCCCTGATGTGCTGGGGTCAGTCCACAGTGGCCTGTGAGAACCAAACTGAACATTTCAAAGTCTTTGCAACCAGTGGTTAATTGTGGCCACCATTAAAACTCAGTTAAATAGACCACAGTAATGGAGTCCTAAGTACTTAGCGTCTGGATCTGTGTGACAGAGTTAGGACATAGTGAGGGTGCTACAAGGCTTCTCCTTAGACCTCTACATCTGGTGATGACTCTCAGGGAACAGGAAGGAAGGGAAGGAGGGGGCATTTACACCATAGGAATTACGAACACGACAGGTCAGGGCACACCACAGACAGCACACATATGAGCAAGCTCCTTACTGAGCCCTTGATAGGGGCCCACATCGTCATGACTACCGAAAACCAAATCTCTCGGGAGACAGGCAGGTGGCAGCCCCCGGGAAGGCCTCACGTACCCAGGCTGAAGAGACTGACGGCACCATAGTCCAGAAAGTAGCAGATATGGCGGGCGTTCTTGGACATGGAGCTGAAGGTGTGTGCGCAGCTGGACGCGAGCGGGTACACGCAGCTGGAACACATGTACACAAGCATGGGCCACGAGTAGCTGTCATTCCGGATGTCCGTCACGCACAGTGCAGTCACGAACCTCCACACAAAGAACCTACAACAGAGCATGCGCCCACTGAATGCCCTCTGACTGCTTTCTGCCTTCCGCCCCACTGGGGATGCTCCATCCTTGAATCGCCACTTAAGTGACATGACACATACTGGAGAGGCTGTGGTGGGCGAGTGCCTGCTTTACCTGAAGCAGCCTGTGGGGACGGACAAGTAGCATAAAGTCAGTCCTTAAGGACAAAACCCTTCCTACAGCATCTTTCCCAAGACACTCTCCAGTCTCAGCTTATACGGATTTAAGGAGGGTCTCATTCTCTCTCACGGTGGCTCTGAGTGTTGGGAAGTTCCTTCTAAGTCACATTTGCATGGCCCATAGCCATCTGCACGTCTTCCCTACACACACTCTCCATTTCACAAACCACCACTGGAGAACAACATCCCTTTCGCACAGTGTCTGTCGACGAGGGAAACTCTGGAGATCTCTCTACCCAGTCCCTGAAGGAGGGTCACAGAGCCTTTCTGGCTACAAGTGTGGTTTTTTCTCATTGTCTAGCATAGGGGACACTTGAGCTGTTTGCTCTTCCTCCCAAATACTCCTTTTGTCATCGACGGATGACTCCTCGTCTTGTTTGTGGGGTGTCCCGGCTGCAGATTGTCCTAGCTCTCCCTAGGACAATGTCCTTTTGGAGCGGGCATCTGAGAGCCTGGCTTGCTGTTGGGAGCTGGAGCCGTGCAGGTGGCTCAGCTGTGCGTGGACGTCATCACGAGCACTGGTAGACGTTACGTGGTGGCACAGAATTCAAAGCAGTCAAAACACAGACAGACATCACGGCACATGAACTTGGAGGTGAAGGAAGGAGGATCTTCCTTAGCTATACAGGGTTCAAGGTCAGCCTGGGCTACATGAGACCCTCTCCCCCAAAACTAAACCAAGCCATAAGAGAGCATAAACTAACTATGGTTCATCCAGCTGGAACACCTGTTCAGAATCCTTAGAGTCTTGGGCACAGATAATGTGGTCTTCGCGGGAGATGAGCAATGGGGAGAAATAATGGGGCTGCGGCACAGTCAAGGTTTCCTGGGAAAAGTCTGGAGGGCCCGCAGGTGCCTTGCAGCTCTGGGAGGAGAACGGGGGTCGGAGGAGTGGTTTGGCTCTATCCCTTCTGCAGCCCTCACCCTGCAAGCATGTACAGGCTGTTGTTGGTGCTTCTTTGAAACAGGGCCCCAGTGTATAGCCCAGACGGGGCCTCAAAGTCATGATCTTCCCCCTCAACTTTCCAAGCCCTAGGATCACAGGTATGACCACCACACTCAGCAGAAAGCTTTACAATTTTTTTTTTTTTTTTTTTTGCTGTGGTGGCGGCAGTGTTTTGTGTGTGTGTGTGTGTGTGTGTGTGTGTGTGTGTGTGTGTATGCGTGTGCGCGCACGCTCGTGCATACTGTGCCATATATGTAGAGGCCAGAGAACAACTTCTTCTTTCTACCTTTGTTTAGGTTTTGGAGATGAAACTGGGGCTGCCAGGCTTGCTTACCGACTGTCTTCACTCACTGTCTCATCTCCTCAGCCTCAATTTTCTATAAGGCAAACATTTAATGGCCTTCTTGAGCCGGTGGACCCTGTTGCCACCGCCCAGCCTGCAGGGCCCAGGACAGTCCTCTCTCTCCTCCTGCTAGCTGCTGGATCCCCGCTCTCTCTGCCGACAGCTACTTGTGCTGGCTGTTCCATGCTGAAGCACAACCTTCCTGGAGCTCACGGCTGCTTGCCACACTCACAGACTGCACACCTACCTCAGCTTCTTGAAATGACTCAGGATTTGCTCAGGCCTGGCCTGGGCCGCCATCTGTACTCCACCGGAGGAAGCCTTCCCCCTCCAGCTGAGTCTGCCGGTCCACAGATAGCTAAGTAGAACAGTGACCTGCTGATATCTGAGGTCCCTAGGCTCCACAGATACCCAACTCTCCAGGTTCTGTTTCATCATCAGATTCAACCAAAATCTCCCAGCAGGGAGGGGCTGCACCTGCACAGCGTCCTTACTGTGTTAGCAGCGCAACGGTCTTTGACATAGCATTTTGCCTTTGTTTTTTAAGGAATCTAGGGATGATTTAAAGAACAGGGAAGATGTGCAGAGAGATATAGAAAAGCTGTGCACGTGACACGGAAAACTTACAGGTCCTGATGTCTTTTAGGGAACCAGGAGTCACTCCCCACAGATGCCCAGGGAGAGCTGTACCACCATGTGGGATGCGGCCTGCCCCACCCCTCCATTTCCAAGCAAAGGCACAAGGTGTGTAAAGCTGGCCTTCATTCCACCTTCCTCAGTAAGGAGCCTCTTGGCCTTCCTGGAACTCCCCCACCTCCCATTCTGTCACCCTTACTTCCCAGACCTTGGCTCTCAGCTGGCTCCATGAAAGGTGACCAATGGTTACTATAATCTCTAGACAACTACACGTGCCCACAACTGTGCCTGTGTCTTTTTGTTTGTTGGTTTGTTTGCTTGTTTGTTTGTTGTCAGGGAAGGACTAATGTAACCCAGGCTAGCCTCAAACTCACTATGTAGTTGAAGATGACCTTGAACTTGTAGTCCTCCAGAAGACTGAGGTTACAGCACAGGGCTTCCATGCCTGGTATATGCAGCGGAAGCAAATGAACCCAGGGCTTCTTGCACACACTTTACAAACTGAGCTACAATCTCCGGCTCCTGTATCTTTGTCTTTATCAGGATCGTCTCTCAGGCCTCACATCATTGTCCCAAGAAATGGACAGAGGATCATGCCTCTACAGGCAGAAAATGCCAGGCTCAGAGAGATTAAGTGACTTGCTCAAGTTAGTGACATTTTAATAAAGACTTCTTGAAGACCAGCAAAGCCTGCAAGACTGAAGAAGATGAAGATAAATGCTACCCAGTCAACAGAAGCTCTAGCATCCTATGGCAATCCACAGCCGGTCGGTCACCTAGCCCATGACAGTCCCAGATCCTTCTCCTTCTGTCATACATGCAGGTGGACCCCTGACCCTAGCTCAAAATCTTCCTGACAGCAGCTGTGTTTTTAAGAAGTCTAGTCCCTGGGGCTCCAGAGGTGGGGTGTCCAGGGGGCCAGAAGGGGCCAGAAGGTACCAGAAGGGTAGTAAGTGCGTCCAGATGTTGAGGGTCTCATTGGTCATTTGGAAGAGGCTGAGGATGCAGGCAGTGGCGGAACTCTGTGGGTGTCGGTAGCCAAAGAGGATGCCCTGCTCATGGAACACCTGTGGAGGGGAGACAAGGAAGGGGCAAGGAGGTGAGACAAAGGGAAGGGTGTCTCTGGCTAGCATCAAGTTTCCTGGGTGGCTGAATAGTTCCTTGACCTGGTCCTCTCCTTCCTGCCTTTGTCCACTCTCCTCCCAGGAGTTTCTCAGATTCCCCTCTTGTCCAAGCAGCCCCAAGCCAGTTAAGACAAGGGTCAGATGGCTTTGCATTCCCAGCTGTGCTTACCCTTGGCATGAATGTTGTCTAAGAGTCCCCGTGTTTGTACTCTGCCTGAGGCCTATGGCCTGATCTTTAGATGCCTTCGTGACTGGCTCGCATGTATGTTGTCTGCCTGAGCCAGCTTGCCCTGGATGTTAGAGGTTGGTAGCGTGATCTCTGCAGAAGATCTTTCAGTGGGATGATGTATTCACAAGGCGCTTCATAAAGGCCTTTTGATGATGAGGCCTATGATGCTAAAGACTGGACTTTAGGAAGAGGAGGCTGGCCACAGCAGGATCATAGAGCCACAGTCTCCAGAGAGGCCATCTGGTAAGCATTGCTCTCTCTTTCCCCAACACTCTAGTAAGAAATTTAGCCTGGTCAGTGAGACCAGTTTTTGTTGTTGTTTTGTTTTGTTTTTTAAATTTATCTATAGTATTGCATTATATCAATTTAAAATGGTAACAGAAGGATTAGGAGATGGCTCTGTGGGTGAAGTGTCTCTTGTACAATCATGAGGACCTGAGGTCAGATTCAAGCACCACTGTAAAATACCAAGCATGGAAAACAGTGAGAGCCTGTAATTCCAGTGCTGGAGAGGTAGAGACAGAAGGATCCCTGGAGTTTGTGGGCCAGCCATTCTAACCAATTGGTGAGTCCTGGGTATAGTAAGAGACCCTGCCTCAAAGAATACGGTGGCAGCTGGGCATGGTGGCACACCTTTAAACTCAGTACTCAGGAGGCAGAATCAGGCACATCTCTGTGGGTTCAAGGCCAGGCCTAGGTAGCAAGTACCAAGCCTACACAGTGAGACCTTATCTCAAAAAATCAAAGAAATAGATAACGTGGTGAAGCAATGAAGAAGATACTCAATGTCAACCTCTGGCCTGAACATGCACACACATGCACTAATACACACGACAAGTGATAAAACACCAGGGCAAGTAGGTCCCCATCTCAGAATATCTAGTGAAGAAAAGTGAAATGTATTCCTGCCATGACTATAAGAGCTACAGAGCTGTATACACTCACCGTAAGGCAGAGATGGGGGAAAACATAGAAAAGGAAAGGGTTCCATTTGCTGAGCTGGCTGGATATCAGAAAATAAACCCTTTTTGTGCTGCTTAGCTCGAGGTCCCCACTTCTGGTGTCTGGCCCACATGACTCTGGCCTATTGTGTGTCTGCACTGTTACCTATTACTTGCTGGAAGTGCTCGTCACTCTCACTAAAGCCCCTTTCCATGCCAGGTTGTGACAACCCAAAATGTCTCCAAACACTGGACTGGTCTCCAGGAGGCAACATGTAATTCTGATTAGAAATCACTGGCTTTGTTCTGTGATAGAGGCTCATTCTGCAGCCCAGGCTGACCTCAGACACTTGGCAGTCTTCCTCCCAAACGTTGAGACTACACGTGTAAGCCATCAGGCCTGGCTAGAACCACTGATTTCAACGGTTCAAAGCCTGGCATCACCTTCTGAATGTGAATTACAGCTAGTGAGATGACTTCATGGGCAAAGACACTTACTGCCAAGACCTGAATTCAATGCCCAAAGCCACATGGTAGAAGGAGAGAACTAACTCCTGCAAGCTGTCCTTTGACCCACATACACACACACACACACACACACACACACACACACACAGAGAACATTTACACGGGAGTAGGTGGACAAGTAAGCACAGTGGCATGCAGTATTTAGTCCCCATGCTGGAAGTTAAGTCCCAACACTTTGTAAAGCTTCCCTTTGCTTCCTTGTGAGAGGGAAAGGCTGCAAGGGCCTCACTGGCTTAGAATGCTGAAGACCTGGGTTCCATCCACAGCACTGAAAATAAAAACAAAGCATTGTATAGAGCACAGCTGCTCCTACCTCTTGCTGTTTTGGTCAAGAGTTCCCACAAAACTATAAAAGAAAGTAAGCAAAAAGGCAAGTTTGAAAGCTAGGCCTGGTGGCACATGCCTGAAATCTAAGCACTTGGAAGGCTGAGGCAGGAGGATCTCTACAAGTTCAAGGCCACCCTGGCAAACCTAGCAAGACTTCATCTCGAAAGAGGAGGGAGGAAGCACACTGATGGGACCCCTGTGGTGCACCACGGGACCTATGAAAGGACCGAGGCGGCCTGTACAGTGGGCGTGACAGTTCCCTTCCTGCTGCTGTGACAACATACTCTGACCAAAAGGAACCTAGAAAAGGGTAGATTTGCTGTTTCTAATCCCAGGTCACAGTTCATCATGAAGGGCAGTCAAAGTGGGAGCTCAAGGCAAGCCTGCTTGCTGTTCCACACATTACCGCCACGGAGGGTGCTGCTTGCTCACAGGCTCAGCCTTGGCTAGCTTTCTAAGGTAGCCCAGGATCACCCGCCCACAGTGGGCAGGGACCTTCCACATCAATTCACAGTCAAGAGCATCCTACACAGACATGGCCACAGGGCAATCTGATGTAGGTAATTCCTCAGTTGGGGCTCACTGCTCCGATGCCCCTAGGCTGTGTCAAGATGACAGTTAAAGCTAACCAGGGCAGCAGACATGTGGCTTTCTGATGCTAGCTACAAACTCTAGGAAACCAAAGGGCAACTCTGTGCAAACTGGTTAGGCAGTGGGAGGGAGGACAGAGAAGCTGATTTATGATCTCATAAAAAAAATACAATTTGGGCTGGAGAGATCGTTCGTGGTTTAAGAGCACTTGCTGTTCTTGAGTAAGACCTGGTTCGGTTTCCAGTACTCACACGTGGCTCACGCCACTTGCGACTCCAGTTCCAGGGGATCTGACTTAGTCTTTTGACTCCCTTGAGCACCAGGCACACAGTTTGACTGGGGCTAAGTGAGAGAGGGAAGTTGAGGATGGATAGGATCAAGATACATTGTATACATTGTATACATGTATTACATTGCCAAAAAATAAAAAGACTGTAAACTCATGTATGATAAATCAGTAAATGTAATTTGTTTTAAAAAAGAAATACAATTGAGTTAGATTTGGACCTTAGCTAATGAAACTGATTTGCTTCCATTAAAAAAAAAAAAAAAAACATCTTAAATTCTACTTTTTTGGCAAAGGGTGTCCAGCAGCCCAGGCTGGCCTTGAGCTAAAACACAGGACAGCCTTGACTTTCTGTTTCTCCTGCCTCTGGATGCAGAGATCATGGCATACATACAACACCACAACCAGTGAGTGGGGTTCTGGGGATCAGATCCAGGACTCCTAGCACACCAGGCAAGCATTCTACTGCCTGAGCCACAGCCCAGTCATCCTTCCAGTTTTGGATCCACATTCTGCCTTGCTTGCAGTGGACAGACTCCTACAATGGGCACAGGAATCTTGACCTGCAGTTTCCACTGGCACTTTGCAGTTTCCACTATGGACAGGGAAGCAAGTAGGCCTTCTGTCTTTGATGCACACAGAATAGGCTGTTTCTAGTCTGGGAGCACTTAGAAGGTCCTCCGTCAGAAGATGTGGCTCCCAGAGGTTTCCCACTGACCCACCAGACTACTTTCAAGTGTTTGGATTTTTCTTTCCCATTTAACAAAAAATCAGCCTAGTGATGGTATGGTGGGCCTTTAATCCCAGCACTCGGAGGCAGAGGCAGAGGCAGGAGGATCTCTGTGAGTTCCAGGCCAGCCTAGTCCACAGAGTGAGTTCCAGGATAGCCAATGTTGCACAGAGAAACCTGTCTCAAACAAACAAACAAACAAACAAACAAAAAACAACAACAGTAACAACAAAAAAATCAGTGTGTGTGTGTGGGTGACTGGAAGATGGCTCAGAATTAAGAGCACTTAGGGCTCTTGCAAGGGACCTGGATTCAGCTCCAAGTAGCCACATGCCAATTCTCAATTGTTAATTCCAGTTCTGGGGGAATCCAGCACCCTCTTCTGGGCTTTTTTGGGTACTGCATGCATGTGGTATACACACACATACACACACACACACACACACACACGTGTGTGTGTGTGTATGATATAGATATATACATACATGCAAGCAAAATGCTGATACATATAAAGTAAATAAACATTTCAAAAGTTTTCAAATGAACTAAAGTGTTGGCTGCTTACTAAAATACAAAGACTCTGGAAAGGTACATTTATAATTAATTATTTGCTCCTTTGTGTGAATCAGCTAAGTAGATCCTTGCTTTAAATTAGGTAACACCCAGCAGGGAAGACTTTTTTTCAGGACCACTGTGGCATAGGCAAGTAGGAGTCTAAAACCAAAGAGTAGGTTGAGGCCTAGTAGTTGGAAAATCCCCAAGAGACAAGAGGAACCTGGCTAAAGCAACCTGACAGGATTCTTGCTGACAAGCCAGAGTGATGGACCTTATCTGGGAGAGTGGAAGATGAAGAAACTGATCTGATAGCAAGGGCGGTTTGGTGGCAAGGATTAGGGCTTCGGGCTGACTGGAAGAGGCCACTCACAAACTGCCCATGTGAGTGATCAAACAGCTATGCTCCTCTTTGGGGGTCCTTACATTTTGGCCAGCACAGGTGTAATCAACAGCCTGAAGGAAAGAGCAGAGATATTGTCCCTGTCAATCACATTTAAAATTCTGGTCCCAGGGCTGGGGATGTGGCTCAGATGGTGGAGAGCTTGCTTAGCAAGCACAAAGCACTGGGCCTGTTCCTCAGTGTGGCATAAATCAGGCCAAGTGGTGTGTTCCTATGATCCCAGCATTCAGGAGGCAGGCAGCATGAGGACCAGGAGTTAAAAAGCCATTCTTGGCTACACATGGCATCCAAGTACAGCCTGAGCTACATTGCTGAAAACAGGTCAGGGTAATCAACCTTATCTGGAATAAGGCTGG